CATAGGGCCCCTCGCTATCGGAGTCTGGTGGCAGCTCCAACGGCTCCTGCTGGACCACAACAACGTCCATGCATCTTCTTGGCAACTTAAGTCTTCATCTTGGTCGTGGAGGGTAGTGAAAGTGCTCCCCTCCCTGCAGTTTGCCACAGCTGGACAGGTTATTTTTGGGGAGTGGTCTCCAATCTGCCAATATTGCATTCCTGCTGGAGAAATTCTTTGTGCTACAAGCACTGGAATGCTGGCTGGGGAACTCCGGGAGTTGAAGTCCGCCAGGTTTCACGTTGCCGAGGTTGGAGACCCCTGTTCTGGAGGATGGGCTCACCTCAGGAAAGGTGCTCCACCCACAGGTCACTGACCTCCCCCCAAAAATAAATCTTTTGCATACCTCATTGTAGCGCCCATGAAGGCACGCGGTGTGATCTCACAAGGCAGGAAGAAGGGGAAAGAGGGGGGAATTGTTAACGATGACAGTTACATTGATGTCCGTGGGGAGGGGGGGCACTTCCACTTTTCATTTTCGAAGACCAGTTAGTAGAACGTGATGAAGGCTTATGGAATTACACAGGGCAGCAAGGGGAGCAAAAAGAGAAGATGTTTCTTAGCTCTCTCCCGAAACTATCAGAACTGGGGAGACCATGCAAGGCAGCCGAGATTCGGGACCTTCATTCACACCGTATCTGGCTGCCTTCTGGAATTCTCTAGCGCAGGATGTGGGGATGACCCCCGTTTGGAACATTTGAACGAGACTGGAGGGAGGGAGACAGTGGTGGGTTCTGGCCAGTACGGCCCGGTACGGGTGTACCAGTAGTAGCCAGGAGCAGCTGACAGCGTACCGATACGGGGGCTTATTGGGCCCAACCGCCCACCCGCGTTCTATACTGGTTTTTAAAGCAACCGGCCAACTGCGCATGCGTGCACAGCTTGTGGCACCTGCGCGAGGGCTAATCTCCAGATTGGGATGAAAAGAGGAAGGTCCCCTTTGCCATCAGGGACCCTCCTGCCTGGAAGATCAGGGGCCCCAGATCTCAGCCAACCAACTCTTCACCCCTTTGGCAAAACATCCGAGAGGGATATCAAGTTCATTTTGGAAAGATATTCCCAGAATCCAGAATTTCCCCAGCTTCTCTCCAGAAAATCATTTCTCCATCCCTTTGCGGTCTACAGCAAAACATCTATGTCCCTCCCTCCCACCCTGGACCTCAAGCTGGCCCCTAAGCATTCTCGGGGGTGGGGTGGGGTGAATTTCTGCCGCCAGGTGTCAGGCAGCGCGTGAAACCTTCCCTCCCCAAGGAGGCTGGTGAAGGGGGCTTCCCAAGCCTTCCGAGGAAAGAGCCGAGGTGGCGCAGTGGTTAAAGTGCTGTACTGCAGGCCACTTCAGCTGACTGCTATCTGCAGTTCAGCGGTTCTAATCTCACCGGCTC